CTAACCCTAACCCTAACCCTAACCCTAACCCTAACCCTAACCCTAACCCTAACCCTAACCCTAACCCTAACCCTAACCCTAACCCTAACCCTAACTGAGTTCCTTAGTGCAATATACAGTATTTCCTCACCTATAGTACTACTCACACTGTATTATTTCAACTACACTCCTCCAAAGAAAATCGCTCATCGCTGATATAATCTGGGCATTTTACCGCATACATAAGAAAAAGGAAATCATCAAAACCGAATCCAATCTCTACTAGTTCAGTTTTAATCGGTAGGCAAGCTTTAGCTCTATATTGGATCCAATCGTGTTTAGCGGTCTCTCTTTTATCGTAAAGATCAACTATAAGGTCAATAACTTCAATCCTTTATTGCAGGATCGCGTCTTCAGTTAGGTCGTCAGGTTGGTAGCAAAGAATCTTCGCCAACTTCGCTCGCTCTAGGATAGGAACATTAATAGCGGGCTCAATATATTCTTCCTTTTCTTCTCCCCGCGCCTGCCTTTCGATGTCCCAGGTAGGGCGGTGATAATAATAATGTGTACGGTATTCCTTAACCACCTACCTATTACGCTGCGCACGCTTGATGCGAATCTTATTGGAGAGCTTTCGGATCTTTTCCTCTTCCTGGTGGCCTTCAATTCGGTAGTGACCCTGCTTCAGCCGGGCTCGTTCCTCCTCAAGCTCGACAATCTCAGGGTCCAGCGCAAGATTAGCCCACACCTCCTCAGGTACTATGTCCGCAGTCGCCCGAGGATCGCGCGTAAGTTAGGATACGCTGGAAGACTAGTCAACCTACATGAGTCCAGGGACGTGAATCACTCCATGAGCATAAATATTTTCAACAACCTCTCAAGGCATGCTTTGCCCAGCTCATAGGTGAGGCCAATAACATACAGCACTGCTAAAGGTCGAGATACACGGGGTTGCACCTACTCTTTTAGATCTTTTAAGACAGGCGACACTTTAGTTGATGATCAAACTTGGGGCCTTATACGGTCCATCGCTAGTTTGTCCGTCCAGAAAACAATATAGCCCCTCATGCCACGGTTCACGGCAGGTATAAGGACCTAGGCGAGTTCAGTATGGGATATTGGAGGAACAGGACAATCCATGACAGTTTGACATGTTAAATTCTGGGATTATGCTGGGTATAGATTACCCTTATGATTTGATCTACATGGTGCCATTAAACAGCTCAAGATTTAAGAGAAGGAGAAGATATATAAGTATAACAAGACAAGATTACACTCGTAGAGATAAAGGTGCAAGAATAGCTAGTGAGAAATGAAAATACGGTAGCATGGGGTGCGCATAAAATTGGAAAGCATCACTCGCGTGTATAACAGGGTACAGTGAAGTCGATTTGGTCTGATTGAATTTATGGATAGCGGCCTCCAGCCCTAAGTGAGCTTGAGTTCTTTCTCCTGTAGGAAATGTAGTCTGTCATGTCCAAGCTTTGGCTCGCATCTCTGTAATAAGAAGTGGTGTAATGTCAGGAGAAGTTGAAGGGTGGCATTCGTGAGCAGCTTCGGGATCCGGGATTCGTTAATTGTAATTTTATGATTCGCGATGACTTCATCAGCAAGAATACTTAGGGCACAAGGGGGGATAGGGTGACTTCGTTATTCTACTTGCGTTGTTTTCAATCGGCTAGTTTCCAATGCAGACCTGGAATTCCTCCTTCTACATGCGCAGCTTCTCATCTGATTCCAAATAATAGATACCAGTAACCTCACAAGAATTCTTTGTGCAATACCGAGAACGTCTGACACCCATCTGCCAAGGTTCATGCGTACCCCTTACCTAAGATTCAATTGTGACACTAGCTCTTAACTGCCCGCTGCACCTCTTCGCTTTCACTCTCTAGCTCATGGTATTCACTGTGTTTCAATTGTTGCTGTCGTGACGAAAAGAAAATATCTTTTTCATTGCGCCACCTGCGACTTATTGTCTGGGGAGCATCGCGTGCGTAGCGGAGGAGACTTGAAGCAACAAGCGTGTAGCCGGGCGCATTTCTCGACGTGAATCTACACATGCTTCTATGATCGGCCCGTATTCCCGCTCGGTCGGTGTTATCTATGATTGGTGCTGCGGAACTCTCGCTGACAATCTGGACGGACTACACTCAGTATGTAGAGCGATCCAAGTGTCGGTATTGGGTGTTGTACTCACATAATCGAGTTTAAAACCTAGGTCTGTTTTTTCCTGTTCCCAGAAGAAGTAAACTCTGAAATCTTTCATCAACGGTGCGAAGTTGTCTGTGATTTCTTGTAGGATTTCCGAACCTTCCTTCAGCGCATTCAGTAGCTGGGCTTCTGTGTCCAATATTCTCGATGGAAGAAGAATATCTATTATCCGCTGTGCAGGTGTGAGGAGATTCGCTTTCCTACTGCCTTGGTGCGGAGTACCGAAAAAGAGCATTCCATATGTTGAGACGTAGATCGAGCGTAGATGTTTGATATGGCTAGCTGTCCGACTCGCCGAGTACACAAGAGCCTATATACGTAATGATTAGCAGTTAGGGAGAAGCGCGATGACAGTACTCGATGACTTCTTACTCGTTTCACTACAATCCCCCCAAGAGAATGGCAGATGAAGATGATCGGTCGCTCGGTGGCATGCTCTAACTAAGAAAACGGGTCAGCTCAGCAGAAAACAAGCATACAAGATGTTCTTGACCTCCCGATCTGCAACAAGCTCGGCAATCATGGTTTGCGCATGTTGCAAGATGCGATCTGACGACGTGCCACCAAGGAGTGCTGTTACAGACGCCGGGTAGCTATATGTCATGATACGCGCGTTCTTGACATCCCGAGGAAGCATGTCATCGTCACTGAGCCAGAAGCGGTTGTTACTTTTCGACGAGAAGGTATGAACGGCGTCCCCATTGATTCCATGAACAGCTATAATACTATCATCGCTTAAATGTGAATGCAAGGTTCTTCAAATATATTTCAGAGAGATCAGTTAGGTAGCAATGTTGTACTCACTCAATCTCTGGGTTATCGCCTTGGTAGACCACCGTCAAGGCCGCACCCTCGTGATGGTTAACCCCGCTTGTTCTTGTGGTGTCATCGCTCTTAGATCTCGAATGCACCCTCTGCAAACCGCTAAAGAAGCTAGATGACCGGCGCATGATATGGAAAGCACTTTGTCGGCGTCTGACAGCCCCGGCATGGAATATTCACAAAAAACAGCAAAAATGACAACGTAGGTCGTGTGCGAAACAAAGACGGTGACATATCGGGAGCCATTTCATAATCATGCAGATAACTTGAGCTCCCTACGCTTACAGCATATAATGGAGGCCGTCAAGTACATCTCGCCCTATCTGTACTCATGTTTGCGAGGTCAGAAAACTAACCAGGCGGCCCCAGAGGCCAAGATGTGGTTGGCCAGGCCATTAGCAGGGGTCCGTCTGCAAGAAGGTTTCCTGGAACTAACAGTACCACGAAAACAAGCAGGCTGTAGGACAATAGACCAATCGGGGCAGCCCGTGCTCTCATGGTTTTTCATTGAGAGCGCTAGCACACAACCAATTGAGACTGTACAAGACAAATATTGGCCGACCCAGCAGTCTTCACCCTTGCTATGTCCTGGATATTGAGGCACGGACAACTGCAGCTGTTTCCAACAATGTACAGGTGGTGTATACTAGCCACAATCCAAACAGTGCGTCTACAAAACCTGACATCCAAATACTTCTAGTACCCCGGTTCTATGTCTCTTAGATAGAACTATTAAGCTTGGTGTCTTAAAATGACACTTTGGATGCCAATATCGTGAAGCATCTTACGACCCGTTCACCTCAAGTTATTCCACTACATATTTGACTGTGCCCCATGTTTCTATGAACTATCGCTCGCCACTTTGGACCACGCTGAAGTGATAGCGGTTCTTTCATGAGCCTGGAATCCAATTTGAGTTCATCACGTTCTGACGATAATGGAGCATCTTCTACTATTCGGACTTTTATTTGGGTTCGCAGTCCTTCATCTCTATCTTAAGGCAAGGCGACAACTGAAGGTGAGAAATGCCAATGGTATATTTACTGATTAGGCAACATATAAAGAGGCTAATTTGGTTCAGGCACTGGAGGCCTTAGCTCATGAGCATGGCTGTCTGCCCCCTCCATTACTTGAAAATCAGCGGCCTTTCGGCGTTGACCGTCTCGAACAGATATTTAGGGCTGAGGCTGAAGATCGGTTGATGGAGCTTTTTCTGTTCCATTTCCGTCAAACAGGGTATACTCTAAAACAGGTGTTCTTGATGACACCAGCGTATGGGACCGTGGACCCAGCAAACCTCGAAGCAATGTTTTCGACCAACTTCTCAGGTAACATCGCCGTTCAAGCAGATCTCTGCGAGTGATGGTTGAAGTCGTATTGACTCTAACGTCTCATTTTTAGATTGGTCATTTGGCCCAAGAAGAGATATTACATTTCCCATGTTTGGTGACGGGATTTTCACTCAAGAAGGCGACGCAGTGAGTTCTCCGTCTGATCTTCTATCGCTACTCGCGCGGGGATAATGTGGAGCTTTCTTAAGCGGTACTGATTTTGATAATTCAGTGGAAACGATCCCGTGAAATACTACGTCCTCAATTGGTTTATCGACAATACGAAGATCTTCATGTCTTTCAGCAACCTCTCGAGCATCTGTTGAGTATATTGCCCAAGGCTGGCGGGGTAGTCGATCTACAGCCCCTCTTCTTTCGACTAACTCTCGACGTTACGACGGCCTTTTTGTTCGGGAAGTCTATCAACAGTCTCCTAGCTCCTGAGAACTCGCAGGAACAGACGTTTGCCCAAGCGTTTGATACTGCTCAGAGCTATGTTGCAAGTCGCTTCCGCTTACTAGATCTGTATTGGCTAATTGGAGGACGAAAGTGGCGGGATGCATGTGCAAAAGTACACATGTTCGCGGACCAGATCATAGACCAAAATCTTTCCGAAAGCGAAAATGCAGAAGGGCAGAGTGATGGGAGATATGTGTTCTTGAAATCAGTCGCTCAGGCTTGCCCCGACAGAGCATCTCTTAGGGGTCAGATCATTAACATTCTTGCTGCTGGGCGTGATACAACAGCTTGTTTATTATCGTGGACATTGTAAGCTGACCTTCTTCCTAGATGATTCATAACTAAAATCCACTGTGTGCCTATAGTTTCCTGCTCGTCCGGCACCCTAATGTTATGGAGAAACTGCGGGCTGAAATCAATAATCTAGCAGCGAGCGATGAGGATATAAGCAGGTCGGATTTGCGTAATTTGAACTATCTTCAAAATATATTGAAAGAAAGTAGGTCCCAATCAGTTATGCAACGCGGGGACTAGTCACATTCTGATTCATCCAGCTCTCCGACTATACCCCTCTGTCCCTGTTAATACACGTACATCGACCAAAACCACGATACTCCCTACCGGTGGGGGCACCGATCGTAAGTCACCGGTTCTAATTCCGAAAGGCACTGCTGTCGCATATAGTGTCTACACCCTTCATCGACGACCAGACCTCTATGGCATGGACGCGGAGTGTTTTCGCCCAGAACGGTGGGATGAAGATCTGCCGTTATTCCGGGACCGAACGACGCAGAATTACGGCTATTTGCCGTTCCACGGCGGCCCTCGTATATGCTTAGGAAGTGAGTAGTGGTCCATGCGGTTGCCCCCTGTAGCACAGCGCTAACCCAGTTCATTCAGTGGACTTTGCTCTCACTGAAGCTGCTTATATCATCATGCGAATCTTTCGAAGGTATCCGAATATTGCGCTTCCACTCGGAGAAACGGTTGAACTAGTAGGCGTCGAAAAGCAAACTACTACGTTGGTGTTGAAGATTGCGGAAGGTTGCAAAGTTGAACTAGGCTAAGATGCAGTAGACATTGTACGTAAAATACTTCGTAGCTGACGCTTGTGTACTATATAGTATGTTAAGTGAAATCATGACAACCCCGCTCTCACTTCATCTTTGGACATTTGTGTGAGTCTTGAAAGGATGCAAGGATGTCATTCGACGCAGAGCCTGTTCTACAACAGAGTACGCACGACACTCTACGCAGCACTTGGATTTGCTGTTACGAATAAGATTTCTGATACCTATATACACACGTATACACTTTGTTGATTGACCATTGACGAGTAGGTAAGTGAATGTTAGCACTGAATAGGATGTGGTGGTGTTTCATCCCAATCCGTGGCCTCACGCCCCCTCCTTCCCGGCTACAGGCAAGTACCTAGCCAGTTGTGTATACAGTATAGTTGAGCCTATGCACTGTGTAAGCGTGGCATAGGTAGCTCCTCTTGTCGACAGGGGCTATGTTCTTGCTGTGGTCAGCTCAGCTTATCTCGACTACTACGTACTGTAGGCACCTCCCATTCCCAGTAATTCTCACTGATGTCGCATCTTTATCTGAGTAGCTTATGCTACACGACTTATCCGCCGTCCGAAGCCTCTTGGCATCGATCAGCACAGTTAAGTCTTAATTATCTTGAGTTTTCCGATGAGCGTTAATATGCCAGAAACAATACAGCTTGTTCCTTGAGAGCTGTTTAGACACAATGGGTATGATTGATATAAACGAAGCTGATGATGGAGAGTCGCCGATATCAGATGCCTCTGTAGAGTAAG